GTGGAACAGCACGGTTTTATGATGAACAGGTCCACTGTTACAAATTTGATAGTATTTACTCAATTTGTATCTGATACTTTAGATAAAGGCGGTCAAGTGGACACCATTTATACAGATTTTGCAAAGGCATTTGACAGACTTGATCACCAAACCCTTTTAAAGAAACTTGTCGAATTTGGCTTCAATAGCAACGCGTTATCACTATTTAAATCATACTTAAATAATAGAGTCCAATTTGTTTCATATAATGGGTTTGTGTCACCGAATTATTTTGCAACTTCAGGAGTCCCTCAGGGCTCAAACCTAGGGCCTTTATTATTTCTAATTTTTATTAATGACATTTGTCAAGTAGTTGACTGCAATAAGCTATTATTTGCTGATGATATGAAAATCTTTACATCGATTTATTCCATAGGTGATTGCTTAAAATTACAGAAGTCTTTAACCAATTTGCAAACTTGGTGTTCAAATAATAAATTGCATCTTAATATACCCAAATGTAAAATTGTTTCTTATACCAAGAAGGGACTACCTATTATTTTTTAATATGTTATTACTGACATTGCATTTTCTCGCTATGAAACCGTTAAGGACCTTGGTGTACTTTTTGATTATAGTTTATCTTTTTGGGAATACATATTCACTAAAATAAATGTGGCAGCAAAATCGTATGGCTTCATATTAAGAAATTGTAGAAACTTTAGCAACATTAAAACTTTAAAAACATTATATTATTCGTTTGTCAGATCTAAATTAGAATATGGTTGCATCATTTGGAATTCATATTATCAGTGTTATAAAATCAGTATTGAAAGAAATTCAGAGAAAGTTTTTAAATTTTTGTATTTTAAAGAACTTAGAAATTATCCATAATTTGATACTCAATACAATATGTTGCTGACAAGGTTTGATATTACCAGTTTAGACGTAAGAAGAAAATGTTCTTCACTGTCTTTTTTATACAAAATATTACATAACAGTATTGATTGCTCTGTTTTTCTGTCTCAAATTCAGTTTAATATACCCAGAGAACACTCAAGACATGCGAAAACTTTTTGCTTAACATTCCTAGAACGAATCTTACTTTAAAATCACCTTTATATGTAATGTGTTATAACTTTAATAAATTATGCCACTTGTGTGACATTCATTTTGATAATTTTGAGCGTATATTGATTGGTTGTTGCTATACAATTACTAAATCAGGAACGTATCTTTTGATGATATGTGGATTATCTTTGTATTTTTTTTGTATACCTAATTGTTTCGTAATTAATGTACTAAGTTTGTATTGTATCTGTATTTAGATTAAATAACTATTTATAATTTTTGGAAGTAAAATAAAATTGCTCTGTAAATGGGGTAACTGGTGAGCAATAAAGCTATTATTATTATTAATTTGCCTCATCCGGAAGTTTATAGAGGGCACTACATTAGACGTTCTTCTGCGACTCTGTTACCCGACGCAGGGGCCGATATTACCACCAATAAACGACATAGGGGGTGGTGTTCTAGTATGGTAGCGGAGACAGGTATATATAAGATTCTATACAAAATAAAATTTTAATCGTAAACAAATTGTTACCACCTTCAGCAGAGCCTACGGAACCTGCCAATGATACAACGTGCGCAGCAAACTTTAACATTCATAGCAGCAGCCTCATTGAACACCAATAACTAAAAGCTACAATAACTGACAGCACTCAATCTGACATAAATTTAAAACACTGCAATATTGGCACTTTCAATTTACATGTAGTGCAAAGTAAATTGTGATCGTTCTGTTTATAATAGTTATTGTTTTGTATTGAAATGTTATATTACTTAAAATGTACACTGTTTAATTAATAAAATAATAAATAAGTTGCGAAAAAATGACAAATTATTTTGACATTTGTATTATGTTCTAGAGCGAAGAAGATTTTGTCGTTCTAGAACATAAAAGTATTTTGCAGCTAGGTGGCAACGAAGACTCACTTTGTCAGCTGAAAATTTAACGAAAATGTTGACTTTTGATGACAGTTTTCCAAAAGATATTTTTCTGTTATGGTAATTTATATAAATCTTCGTTGGGAAGACATAATTGATACAATTCGAAAACCCCCTGTAAACAACCACTGCCGTTGCTGCTTCCCGGCTCTCACTCTCACACCTACAACAAAGACCCCACTTTGTCGGCAACTATGCGACCATTACGGAGGATTCCAAGAGGGAAGAGTGCAGACTAGACATCCACCTCACCTCGTAACATCGGTTTCGTGCCCCATCTCTCTCCTCCTCGACTTCCACGGGAGATAACCGATCTCTTGGTGACTAAGAGTGCGCGTGCGCACTCACTTCCTGGTAGGTGGAGCTGCCGTCAGTCAGTTACGAATCCACCCAAGAACGGCAAAGTCGCGATCGCGCTAGTGCGGTGCTACTGGTGAAAATTCTTGGAAAATGTTGCAGATCTCGTATCTAATATGTGCGATATGTATATGCGGTGGGATTTTAAGCCAGGCTATGGTAAGTGTCTTTCATATTCTTTAGTGGGATTGCCCCAAGACAAAGAAATCGAAGGAATTGAGACTCGGTGTGGGTAACATTGATTTTTATTCGTTTCTGTTTGTATACACTTTAATACAAATTACATATTTTTATGTACATTTTGAGGCAATTTTCTAACTCTTAGATTTATTATATTCTAGAGATCTGTAAAAGCACCAAAAACAATTTTTCAAACTGTTTAAATATGTATTTATATTGGAACCTATCTTTAACGCTGGGTGTTCTAATGCATTTTTTCTATAATTTCTAAGACTTTGTGCTTAACATCAATTTTTAGGAATAAGGTAATATTTAGCAGGGTTAAAATGTTTTTATTTCGTAGGGTGTGTAAGTCTTTCGTAGAGAAAGAAACATACTTTCCATGTTGATTCCTTAGGAATACATCATTGGAAAACAATCTTTAATTTCTAATCTTCATAGGTATATGATTTTTAATTGATAGTCTTTCTAAATTTTATATTAGATTTTACAAGAGATTGTTTTAAGCTATTTGAAATATTTTGTCAGAATTAACATCACATAAAATGTTAGGAGTAACTACTATTCTTATGATAGAAAGTAATTTTTTAAGTTGTCATTAAATTTTCTGTACATTTTTATGGGATACAGACTGTAGGACTCATATATAACCGGCTGATAAATTCGCCGGCAAGCCAAACTGGAAGAAATTCCAAAATATGGCAATAGGTATAAGAAGACGCCATAAACTTCGGATTTCGATAAAGACCCCTTTTTCCTTTTCCATTTCCCTTTAAAAATGGAAAATGCATAGGAATTGTTATAAAGTAGGCTGTAAAATTTGTATGTTAACAGTCTTCTGCCATTCCCTAGATCAAACCCTTTGAGGTATAATTCTGGGAGGGACCTTTTACGATGAATGTTTGAAGAATATTTCCTCGAATATTTCATATTTTTATAGGAAACAGGTTCAGTGTGGGGTATGAAGTAGGTATTTACGACCTCGATTCCTTATACTGTCAATATTGATTACATAGAGTTGTGCAATAAGCTGAAAATAATATCGATCCTGAAAACCTGAATTAGTACCGTCATAAAGTATTTTGTTAATGCAATTTTCCTTCTATTATTCATTATTATTTAGAATTCTACAACAGAAAATGATAAATAGGTGTCAAGAAGTTAACTCTTGAAAGCGGCCTTACCTCTAGATTTATTTTACTTGAACTCCTAAATTCCTATAGATTGTCTACAAAATTTTTCCAGATTTTCTATTAGTTTTTCAAAATTTCTAGAATCTTTAATTATTAAATGAGATCATTTAAATATTCAAGTATTAATTTTAGTACTAAAATCATTCACTCACTTTATGGGATAAAAACAGTATGTTTTTATAAGTATAAAATATCCATAAAACTAAATTAAATCAGACAAATGTAGAACAATTTCCGATACTAAGTTTTGAGAGCTGTAGGTATAATAATAATGGTAATATAATGTTCCAACCATTTTGTTTTTTGAGAAATTAATGAAAATGTCAAAAAATTATTAAAGTACTTGAAATATCTGACTATTTAACATCCATTTTACTATAGACAAAAATAAATAATTAAGGAAAATATTCTTGCATCAAGAAGACAACTAAGAAATCGATTTTATCAAATAATTTATCAGTATCTTACTCTAAAAAAAAGTAAAAAACCATTTTTTAAACTGGAATAACTTTAAAATGACTTTGATGACTGATGACTTTGACTTTTCATTACAGTAAAATTTATTTGACATGCAGAATTTCAAACTCTTTAAAGTACGTATTTAACATACTTAATTTATTTATTTTGTGCATCTCTTTACTAGAAAGTGTTATTTTTGACGTTTCTTTTCTAAAGAACAATGTTACATATATTTATTATTCTGCGTTCTTTCTTTCTTTTTGTTCTTTGACTACATTATAATGTGGTCCTCGGTAATTTGAAATAATTAAGTAGGTAACCCATTTAAATATTCATTCTTCACGTCGTTTTGAAACATCATATAAACAAATGTCTTAAAACGTCTCGTTTTTGACCTATGGGATTGAAAATTTATTTTTTCGATACCTATTTTTATTTCTTAATTGTTTACATACAAATATTTCATTAAAAAATAAAAAGAGGTATTAGCTACGACACTGATTTTTCCAAAGACATGAGCAATAAATATATACGATTACTCAAGAAGCAGCCCATTTAAATGTCTGAAAAAAGCTCTGAAGGAAGAAAGATGAAATAAAACGAAATTTAATACAAATTAAACTTAATTATTATAATTTGTCCTATTTGTTTATTTATAAAGGTTTGATGCATCTCAAATTGGATGAAAATAATAATTTTGGTGCGAACTATTCGCGATATTCCATAATAAATATAATTTAACAAGTCTCTTCCTAAATAAAATTCTAAATAAAACATTTTATTTCCTTAATACCTAAATTAATTCGATTTAATATTGGATGTTTCAGAAAGCTTATGTCATATATTTGTTTTATCTCTCTTCAAGTAAGTATTACTAGAATTTTTATATAACCATTTAATAAACAAAGTCATTTGACATGTTTGTAAAATTTATATTTTATTATTAGTTTTCGTATTTTAATAAATTAATTTATTAAATGTATCGTTAATTCAAGTAAATTCAAAGAAATTTCTAAAAATAATATAAAATGAAGTCAAACAATATTATTAACCTAAGTACACATAAATATCTGATTGTGAATAATTGAAATCGTTAAATATTGTAGTCTTTCAAAGAAATATCTTCCACTCGATCTTGTATTATGTTATAACATAATCCTTCACAAATAAAACTCACAAAAATATCAACGATAGAAAGTCCTTACTATTTCTACTTGTTTCTGAGCATTGTTTTTTTTTTAAGTGACCTCCTTGCAACTGGAATTAACAATAACTTAATAGAACAGAACCATATACCTATAAAACAAAATATTTAGAAAAAATTAAATTTAGAATCAAGTGTCAAAAGTATTAACAATATGACTAGATTAATGTGCATTCAAAAGATAAATTTAAATTTACTCAAGTAATTCATTTATTATAAATATAGTTTGCTTAGACACAAACAATAAATTCGAAATTGTTTATCAAAATCCGGTGCAAGAGAATATATTAAGTTAAAGTTGACATAAATATTCGATGGTGTGAAGAATATTTTTCTTTGCGTCGAAGAATTTATTTATTTAAATAAAATTAAATGAAAATAACAAAAATTTCTTCTAGAGTAAATATATATTTTAATGTATAAAAAGTAGCAAATTTAAAACAAAATAACGTTTTTTTATGAAAATAAGAGTGTTTCAGATGGCATGGTAAGTACTTTATATCAATAAATTAATATATTAAGTGTAAGAAAATTGGTTGTGTTAAAAATTTATTTTCTTCAATAAAACAGAAATATTTTTTATTTAAATGTATTTTCTGTTAAAATATAATGTGGGGCTTCTTCTTTTTCTATAAAGTCTCAAATTGGTGGTAAACTAAAACACCAAAAAGTGTATCACTAATATTAACTTATGTAGTTTTAAAATAAACAGAACCAATAATGAATAATTGGATTAAATTACCTATCCCTGCACCTGCCCTATTTGATTTCCATAGCTACTTATTTGTACACCACTTTACAGTTGATGCTAATCACATAAGTTCATGTAAGTTGTCTAAAAAATAATTTCAAAATTGTACTGACGTGAAGTAGTACAACCATTATTCAAATCATCATGTCACATTGAAATTGTATACTAAAAATAGGCACTACATAAACAGAGGTTTTTCATTTGCATTACTTTTCACAATTTGAATATATTTGAGCTCATCATCAAGTAAGTCGGTCTTTATTTGTCTAGACATTCGTCTGCAACATATTGTGTTAATAGTTACAAGTGAGGTTAGAAACTAAAATTAATTATATATCCGTGTATTAAATAATGTATGATTATTATACCTTATACTATTTTATAACAAATTTGTAATAGCTTTTTGTATATTGTGACAAAATGTCTACTAATGTTAAATTTTAGGCGTATCTCCACTATCAAAGAACGATGTTCTGTCGAATCTTGAAAGTTTAATAAAATGAGATACGCCTTTTCGTTGTAATGATGAGGATATGTTTTAAATTAATCTGTGCATCGAATAATTTTAGAGATAAATCTAAATAAATCTTATAATCTAATAATAATCTTATAATTTAAGTAAATCTTCATATTAAAGCAGTTTTTCTTCATTACAAACATCCGAAGAAACAACAATATGTTCATATTTCACTAAAGTTACAGTTTGTGGTAATATTCATAGAAGTAAACGGCTTCTACAAGTAAAATCAAGTTAAACTTTTATATGTTCTATTTGAAAAAAATGAGTGCCAAATAAAGCTTTATCTAATAGAGAAGATTAATTATTTTAGGATGCAGGAAAACTCCAGTCGTCCAATATTATAAATATTAATAGCCATGACGCTGTTTACTTTACAATTTCAACATCTGTTGTAAAATGTGTAGGTAGATAGATTTTATTATTACCTAACATATTTACTTTTATACAACTCAAGGCAATGTACCTGCTAATGTTCATATAAAATTAACGAAGGAAACTAGAAAATATTAAAATATACGCCAGAATCTATCTCTGCGTTTGTGAAACGATTTGTTGTGCACAAATATATTTTTAAACCAACTTCTATCTATATATTTATAGGTCGCTGTCAATCTGTTCAGCCATCGACAAATTGTATAGGTTTCTGTAAACGTATTCCTTAGAGGTGAATGAAATTTATATATACGTTACCTCTGGAACTGCAGGTGCTGTGTAACCAAGACTGATGCATTATGCATTATAGAAAGATCGGTTACAATGTATATATGGAAGATAGTATTAAAAACAGGTACAACAGTCTACGAACCTAGGCATCTAAGTCATATAAATATTTATTTTACAGCACGGAGGTGC